ATGGCATGGGTAGGGCACCAGCATATCAGGGCTGCTCAGTGCCACAAAGCAGGTGGAGGAGGGAAGCTGGCTGCAGCCATATCTAATCCCGAGGACTGAAGGGGACAGGGGAAGCTCTGATTTCTATGATTAAAAACTAAAATCAAATACCAAAAATACATAGGTGTTTAGAATTTATTTTATTATAATGATGGAAGCACTAGTAAGCTTCCAAATTGCTTTACAATTGTAAGCATCAATAAAACATTGTGTTCAATTGATGCTGCCTCCCCCCCATGGTGTCTAATTTTAATCCTGGAAAAATGCAGACAGTGGGGGGGTTAATCAGAGAATTTGTGTTTTTTAAACAGAGAAAACCAGGATCCCTGGCATTAGTAAGCTTATAGGAGCAATAGCTATAGCTTTCAGGAGTACTTTTGATGGACGTGTAGGAAAGGACATAACTGAAGAGATATTCGGATCCCCTTTTAAAGTGTCAGAGCCCTGTTTCTTCTTTCCTGTTGTCCCCAAATGCATCTTGCTGCCAAAGTGATCCCTTACCCTTCAGGAATATGGAAGTAGTCTACAGAATTTGCAACTTAGTCAAGAGGTGGGAGATGATGTCCATCTTTCTTCCACCCCACTAAAATATCATATAACTTGCACAGAAAAAATAAACAGAAAAGAAGAAACACGCACTTGACACAAGCTCACAGTAGCAATTGCCAGTCATTTACAGACATGCTTGCTCACAGACTGCTGTGATTTGGATTAAGCGTAGTACATTCTTCCACTGCTTGCAAACATGATTAAAATGAACAGAATGGAACTCCAATACATAATGGAAGTCCTTCGCCAAATGGTTTCAGACATGTTTATAAGACATTATGCAAAAGAGCACCAGTCTAGCAATTCACATTTCACTTCTCAGGAAAGGATCATACATAAACATTTGAAAACGCAGAGGGGTGTCAATTTAAGACCAGCTCTGTCTTGCATTTGCCCTTGCAGTGTCCAAAGCTTTATCTGAGACAACACACTCATGGCTACACCTTCTTTTCTACCATCTGTAGTCCGTAAGTAACAAAGTTATTTGCAGCACAAAGACACTTCTTCTCAACCTCTTTTTTAACTTGAGTTTGTGAGGCTTTGTTTTAAATCAGCTAGCCTTTTGAATAGTTTTGTTGCATGCTCTCAAAGCTGTACCCCTCTTCAGTTAAAATTCCTAAAAAGACTATTAGAGTTTGTTCTTTTATTTAAGAAAAAAAAAAAGTCTTCCTGACATAGGCACCTCCACTATTAAATTAGAAACAAAGCATGTTTAAAAGTCAGTTTTACTTTTCACTAGTAATGCAGTATGAAATCCAAGGTGTGAACATTTAAGTACCAACCTTGGCAGTACTTAAATATCCATGTAATTTGTACATATTAAACAGTTCCAAGCATTGAATTAAACTGGACTGCTCACATCAGTAAAGTGCATAAATTCACAGAATCAAAGGCTCAGTTTGTACAATGAAACTGGGCTCATGCACTTCATTTTATAATTATCATATGCCAGTAGTTTGCTGGCAAAGGATAATATAAATCAATATTTAAAAGCAAGTAAAAATGCTTTCAAGAAAGCAAGATATTACCATTAGGCTTGCAACCCCCCCCCC